AAGTGTATGTTTGTATAATCGTACACTACTACCTTGTCAAAGAAAAGGACCAAGGTAGGCCCACTCCTTGTCAGTTGTGACACACTATAGATATCAGAGAATTTGCAAGGCACATGTGTCTGGCATTGTCTATTTAAGGACAGGGACAGTCTCAAAGCAGGAAAGGGGAGAAAAGTATTCCTGGATAGTTTTGATAAGGGGTCTTTAGAAGGACAGTATCAGTGATCTTTCTAGTTGACATGAAGGAAGGGTCTTCAAGCCCACTAAGGCGAAAAAGTGGGTCATAAAAAAATGTGTCATTTAAAGAAGTGGAACCACAGAGTTTTTTGTGATCCTTACTCTCAAGTATGGTGTATCAGTGCTTGTCACATAAAGTCTGACAATCATCCATCATTGAATTTGATTTCTTGTGCTTAACAAACACTTTACAGGTCATATATTAGCCCCCAAATTATCACAAGTCATGAAGGTCCCTGGACATATTTTATCAACTAGATGATTTGTTTGGCCCCAGATTATAGATCAGTGTTCCCGCTGGCTTTTGAAACCGCTTGTCCCGCTGGACTGGCGACTATATACATTATCAGTCCCCCTAAATGTTTGTCGTCTCAACTTTGAACAAACAAAACTGTAAGAAAATTACCTGGTTTTTATTCTTCTGAAACATAAGTTTCAATGTAGAGTACTTTCATGGCTGAAAATTTAGTGATGTCATTTCTGAAGTAACTTATGTAGATCTACACGTCATTCACACAAAGTTCAATCACAATTTTCTCTTTTTTTTCTGAATATTTCACTTGGATTCAAGACTAAATCACTACAAATAGATATTTAAGCTTGAAGTAAAGCGAAATATTATTTCCTTGCACGAACAACAGACAGCGGAAAACCCTGATAACAGAAAAGTTGACCATTTGAAAAATATACTTTTTTGACTATCGACGATGTTTAGTTAAACAACAAAGATTCACAAGATACGTTATTTCCACGGGGACTGGCAGTCACAATAATAACCTGTCCAAGCCTAACTTTACCAGTAACAATCTGGTAATTACCGGTAAACAGGAACACTGTAGATAAGGCATGACATAGTTTATTCAACTAGGTGATTGCGAGTCCGTATATTATTATAGATAAGGCATGAAAACAACAACTCATGATGCCTTACATGTTTATTTTATTCTATTATTGCCTGTGTTGTCTTACTTACTTTATTAGACTTTTAATGTTACTACCATAACTATTAAATATCCACAAACAAGAATGGGGTTCAGCCGATGTAAGGAATGTAACAACCTGATGCTCTTACAGTTAGTTCACTACTATGGCTGGAACGGGTAGAAATTTATGACCTTGGTTCTCATGACAAGCTCATTACTTTAGGCCCATGAACATCCGGGTTAGGGTAGGTCTTCAGCAACCCATGTTTACCATGAAAGGCGAACATGCTTGTTGTAAGAGGCGACTAACGGGATTGGGTGGTCAGACTTGCCAACTTGGTTGATGCATGTCACCATATCCCAATTGCGTGGAACGATGCTCATGATGTCAATCACTGGATTGTCTGGTCTACATTTTATTACTTACAGACTGACGTCATAAAGCTGGAATATTGCTGAATGTTGCGTTAAACAACAAACAGACAAAGCTAATGACTTTGCATAATTTATTGAGTATGTCAAGTAGGATTATCCAATAAAAATGAAAAATGCAGAATACACTTTGAAATGCAAAAGTTTCATGTGGTCATATGTTACAACTCACCAGATGACCTTGCCCTTGATACACAATTACTTTGAGAGTTGGTCTTTAATATACTCACTACTGACATTACTAAAATGGAAGAGAACATTATTGCGACTTTCTGAAATAGTATCCAGTAGCACACAAGTCCATAGAAAAGGAGTGCAACACACCTTGGAAATTGCAGGGAAAATTTGATCACAACCAGAAGATCATGAAAGCAATATTTGATAATGGTGGGACAATACACAGACGCATCACGATTTTTTACTTCCCGATACAAGAATGGATCACTGTAATAAATATCCCCATTCTTACCTTATATGTTTGCTTTAATCATGTTTATAACCGTTATATCAAACAAACACTAATTTGTTGTGAAAATAATTGACAATGCCAACTGCCGACTGAAAATCGCCAGTGTGCCAGGTATTTCTCCATCCTGTCTATGAAAAAGATGGCTCAGCACCAATGTTAGAAATAAAACATAATGTCACGCTGCCATCAGGACCCACCAACTTTAGAAGCTGCAGGCCCCGACTAAACTCCTCGGGCATTTATTTAAAAAACTGCATCTTATTGTGACAAATAATTTGACATGTAAATTTAATGAAGGCCGTAAGGACCCAAACAAATTTGAAACTACCAGCCCGACATGAGTGAGTGAGTGAGTTGGGTTTAACGCCGCTTTTAACAGTATTCCAGTTATATCACGGCGTGTCAGCTTAATGTGGGAGGAAAGCCCAAGGGATGCAGGTCTCAGACATTCACCCCTTCGGTGAAACCCACGAGCACAGGTATGGTGCTGACAAACCTAGAAACATAATCATAGGTTTCTGGCATGCCCAAGGGATGCAACTCTGCACAGCGAATTGCGGCGCCTTAGACGACTGGGCCCCCCGTGAGATCTACCTGCCTCGAGGCTACGGGCAGGTGCTTATTTCCAACACTGTTACGCACCACAAACAAAGAGCACATGCAAGTATCGTGATATGTCATGATCATGATGATGTATCGGATCATGAACAAGCTATCATGATCCATATCGGATCACACAGATTTGAAAACCTCTGGCAGCATTAGAAAATGGCACTAGTCATATACTTCTTGACAAACTGGCCAACAGTTCAGTCATAAGGAAAAGGAGAAATTTGCCATTTTTAATGGTTTTGCTATATGTTATCATTGTAAGGACTAGTGGACTTAATGTGTGTGTTTCTTTCGCTGCTCTGACATTGCAGAATGTGGATTCCTGTGGCCAGAGATGGATATTACTGTATTCGACGTAGTAAGCGTGCAGGGCGCTCTCAAAAGTAGAAATTGGGGGCTCTTATTAGAATATTATTTTGGTTGAAAAAAAAACAGAGTTGAAAGATAAATTTTGTGGTTTATGCTGACGGTCTGAACTGTTTATATACGACAGATATATTTTTCCAGAATTTAATTGCCCATAATTAAGGGTGCATATAACACACAAGTGCGTATTATACACGAATGAATAAGTCTTGTGTACATTGATCAATCGGAAGGGATGCTAATTGGGATTGTTCACTTGCCTATATATTAGCAAATATCGCCGTGGGCGCTTATTAGTGTGGGGCGCTTATTACGTCGAATACGGTATTTCAATTTATTGATACTGATCCTGAATCCGACCTGTAATTGCCAGGACACGTCATCTCTTTTTAACATTAACATCACACTCAGCCGTACAACAGCTGTTTGTGGGCAGCGTGTAAATAATGTCAAACCAGTGATTTAGTCACTTTTTATGACAAGCAACTAGGTTGCTGGAGTCCTTTTCTAACCCAGGATCCATACAGATGTTATTTTTCTCCCATTGAAAACACTCTGCTGCTGTATATGCTCTTAACATAGGTGTTAACATGAGAACAGTTAGCGCTATCCGTTTTTCCAATAAATGATGGGTGGCGAAATGATCCTTCCTCCTGTCATGATCAGCTGAAACTCTTTTCAATGAGATTTCTAAAATATTGTCATGTCACGTTTACACAGCGAGGTGCGTGCATGTGTACGTCTATGTCTACTTGTACTTGTCTGGACTGATCATGCTAATGCCGGTTTTATGCTGGCCCACTGAGATATCACGCCACAGATTAACATGGACACCCTAATGAGACACAGTATACTGATTCCAACCAGTCCTTGTTTTATCCCACATATGCCGATCGCCAGACAGGGTAACAACAAGTACCATCTTTTAACGTCTTTTAAGCAGATGGGAATTGAACCACCGGTCTTCCGTTCTCTGGGCAGAAACCTATCTACTAGACCACAGAGGCAGTGCAAACTATTGAGTGAGGGCGTCTTGGTTTAACAGTATTTCAGTTACAGTGAGTGAGTGTGTTGTTTTTAACGCCGCTTTTAACAGTATTCCAGTCATATCACGGTGTGTCAGCTTAATGTGGGAGGAAAGCCCCAAGTAATGCAGGCCTTAGACGTTTACCACTTCAGTTAAACCCACGAGCATGGGTATGGTGCTGACAAACCTAGAAACATAATTCGGGGCGAACCAGGATTCGAACCCACAATCATAGGTTTCGGGCGTGCCCAAGGGGTGCAACTCTGCACAGCGAATTGCTGCGCCTTAGACGACTGGGCCACCCGTGCCCCCTATTTCAGTTACATAAAAGGCAAGTCATTTCAGTCAAGTAGGTGTTAATGTCTTCAAAAAGAGTTGCAATCAATGCATAGGCTCTAGTTGGGAATAGAAAATAGCAGTTCCTGAAGACACACACGCTATTACATATCAACGTTTGGGTTTTAATGACACCCCAACCCTCTTGGTCGAACACAAGTTCATGACATCACATACAAAATACGCGTCCACATGACATGTCACGGTCCTAAACGATATCCGATTTGTATCAAGGGCACTAATTATGTTCAAACGTATTTTGAATGAATCCCTGAAAATACATCCCCCATGCGGACAATGTAGCTTGTCATCTGCATTGTCACTACCGCCATAGAACACAATATTAGTTAGAATATGAAAAAGTGCTTGTCATTGCCTGCGTGTTTGCTGACGCTACGTCAAGACCCTCACCTCCTCGCCTCGCTCGGCATAACAACATATCCTACCTCACGTGCACCTTGGCAAGTTGATTACCTAACTCGATGGGCACAAACACGTGTACAGTTCATCATCAACACCGATGTTTGGGCGTGACATGTGAAAGTTGGCCCCTCCCACACCCGTCCCTGTCTTCCCCTGGGTAGGCCACATGTATTACCTTCACGCAGTCAACAGGGTACATGACGCAGTGTTCCATGACTCCGGCCGCCGCCCCTGCCACCATGTGGGTAACCATAGTTGATGATGCTGGCAAGCTTTCATAAGGATCGTCTTCTTCCATTGTAGGTAATATAATGCTCAAATCCTAGACTGTTTCACACGCCGATCTTAACACGCTACTGCTTTTAACTGAAATACACACACGTACCCTTGCGGAGCTCGCTAGCCGAACTCCGCCATGCTTGCGCTGTGGCAGAAGTGTACTACTTTCTAACCGACTAATTATATATGTATGAAAACTCGCATCAGTCACGGTCCGGTAGAGACCACATATTAGTTGACGTTTTAGCCAAACACCTGTCAGGTTATTCGAGACTGTGTAATAGCTCTGTGCTCATAATCCATTTTCAGGGATATGCATATCACATGGCGCTTGGAAAGAGCTGCGACTATTTGTCAGAAGTGATTGGACCGACCATTTTAACGGGATTTATTAAGTAGATCGGATTTGGATTTATTTATATTTATTTATCTTGTAGGAATACACTACAGCTTGGTAATGAAAATTCTTTTTAATCAAAATTTTAGAAATGAAGGTCGATTTTTTAAATAAAAAAACATTAAGCATTAATTGTGAGTCCTAAAAAGGGTATTACCGTATGTAACAAAAAATAATGTCATCAGACAATTTCTTTGATCGCATGGTAGAGATCATTCTCTAATAGTTCAACTATTGCTCCTGTATTTGATATCTTCGTATTTATTCCGTTAAAGTCATAATACATTTGTTTGGAGCTTGTCAATGTAATAGGACAACATAATTGGATTCTATGAATTTGAGATGTATTTATACTAGTCATAAATCGACAAAAGTCACAAAGGAGTAATGATATCAATAATTTATATTCTTTGGTTTTCATCTAACAAGCAGTCACTGGCATCCTAGGACCTTATCGTCAGATAAAAGCGGCAAGGCGAGTTATGAACTAAAGGGTAGTTGTGAGGAGGATATTTTCTTTCACGTCATTACATTTTCTGATACGAGTGTCCCTAACTGGGACGTGTAATAACTTCACTCGACGTTTCAGGCGACATTAATGACATATTAGGATTGTGTCTCGGCCAAATGTAGTGGCAATTTCATAGGGCGAAAACGAACTCAATAAATTACCCAGGATATGCATTATTGCAGCTAGTATATCAAAGTTACTGAACGCCTTAAAGAAACTATTAGAACCAAGTAAATTGTGTATCTCATATCTATTTTTCAATGACCATGCAGCTATGGTGAGTTAATCATATGAATTTGAATTAACAGAGAATATTTGTCTCTACATGGTATAAGACTCAAATATTAATCAATTAACTATAAATTATGCATTCTTTTAAATGAATTCTGAAGATTAAAAATTACCTGTCAGATGCAGAACACTGACATTTGCAAAGAAAAATGAAGGGAACAAAATCTGCAAGCTAACTTTTGACATAAACTGTTGTATATTATGTTTGAATATATACAACCTGTTCAACATGTATATTTAAATTTTACAGAACGTCAAAACTTCATCTTTATAATGTTTAAATTACAGATCGAGGTATATTAAATACTGACCCCCTGTTCGAGATATTACCATGTACACTTGAGAACTGACATGTTTTATAATTAATCTGATGAGCGGTGGAGTGCGTGTGCATACTGGGGACAGGCTTTGACTTAATTAACTCGGGGGAGACTCTTCTGACGCGCGCTGTGTCACGTACTGGCAATGTATGTGTCAATATTGTATATGAAATCTTTATATTCTCAGTATGCACGAGTAACGCTGCTAATATTAGCATCTACTTGCTGCAAACCATCTGCACTGAAATTCTCAGTGGCTGTCATCCTCACAGAATATGCAACGGGTGTAGCGGGTGTCATACCTGAACATATAAAGAGGTTGGCCCACATACAGAACCTCAATGCGAAAACCTCCTACTTCTACATGCCATCATCTTCCCGAGGCAATGGAGTTAACTGGCTATAAAAGTCCAGTTTCCATCCTTGTCGAACTAATCTTGACTTTTGGAGTTATATTTTGGCTGGACTAACGAGTCTATGCATAGTCCAATCAAAATCGCGTTACGAAATCAACAACCGGTTCGTAAACTGCCGTGCAGATTTCGGTCGATTGCAGGATTTGCAAAGCATGTGTACCGACCACTTAGCGCCAACAGATATTTTCTAAATCTTCTCATGTTTTTAATCAAGGTGTTCACGTGACCTGATGCATTTCGCGAAGTAAGACACGTTTATTACAATATTGATCTTGATTATCGATCAGACCGTCTTCTCTGGGCGACGCCATGCTTTTTATTTAAAGTGCAAGGGATATTTGACGGGGGATCTGATTGGTCTATAGGGGGGACATAGAAGGGACATAACTCGTAATAGCCACCGGTTGCCCTACGATCGAGCCCAGAAATCCAGCCTAGTTCAGCAGGGGTGGAAACTTGCCTTTTAGAGTCAGCTAACTTTCTTGCCTCGGGAAGAAGACATAGCCATTAAATAAGACCAATATCACTGATACGTATATCTCCTACATCTCAATATACGATCAGCCTTATTGGTTATAACGTATATTGTTGAAGGCACATGTTTTACGCAAAATCAAACATCTAGTCATATTATGATTTTTGTTGCCGTCTGGCTAGGATATAAATTCAATAACGTGATGATAAGACCCTTTTCGCCAGTTAAATTAACATAAGCGGTGTGTATACTATCCAGAAATGCTTTTAAGCTGAATAAACCCTTTCGAAGAATCATAAGAATATAATATAACATGCCCTAAAAAATAATTACACGTATAATTACAGATTAAACGGGGAGTGACATTCAGTACAGAGAAGTCATGCGATTGGTTACTCTGTATATGTGTATTCTCACTCACTCACTCACTCACTCACTCACTCACTCACTCACTCACTCACCGGATACCATGGACGGAACTCGCGACACTCATAATTTGCCACATGTAGTGTTTTTTTATCATGCAGACAGACCATGTACAGTGTATTTACCATACATTCTAGGATACATAGAGTGTCTTTGATCATGCAGATAGACCATGTACAGTGTATTTACCATACATTCTAGGATACATATAGTGTCTTTGATCTTGAACACAGACCATGTACAGAGTATTTACCATACATTGTAGGATACATACTGTGTCTTTGATCATGCAGACAGACCATGTACAGTGTATTTACTATACACTCTAGGATACATATTGTGTCTTTGTCATACAGACAGACCATGTACAGTGAATTTACCATACATTCTAGGATACATATAGTGTCCTTGATCATACAGACAGACCATGTACAGTGTATTTACTATACACTCTAGGATACATAGAGTGTCTTTGATCATACAGACAGACCATGTGTAGTGTATTTACCATACATTCTAGGATACATAGAGTATCTTTGATCATGCAGACAGACCATGTGTAGTGTATTTACCATACATTCTGGGATACATATTGTGTCTTTGACATACAGACAGACCATGTACAGTGTATTTACCTTACATTCTAGGATACATAGAGAGTCTTTGACATACAGACAGATCATGTACAGTGTATTTACCATACATTCTGGGATACATATTGTGTCTTTGACATACAGACAGACCATGTACAGTGTATTTACCTTACATTCTAGGATACATAGAGAGTCTTTGACATACAGACAGATCATGTACAGTGTATTTACCATACATTCTGGGATACATATTGTGTCTTTGACATACAGACAGACCATGTACAGTGTATTTACCTTACATTCTAGGATACATAGAGAGTCTTTGACATACAGACAGATCATGTACAGTGTATTTACCATACATTCTAGGATACATATTGTGTCTTTGATCATGCAGACAGACCATGTACAGTGTATTTACCATACATTCTAGGATATACAGAGTGTCTTTGATCATGTAGACAGACCATGTACAGTGTATTTACCATACATTCTAGGATACATAGAATGTCCTTGTTCATGCAGATAGACCATGTACAGTGTATTTACCATACATTCTAGGATTCATATTGTGTCTTTGACCATACAGACAGACCATGTACAGTGTATTTACCATACATTCTAGGATACATAGAGTGTCTTTGATCATGCAGACAGACCATGTACAGAGTATTTACCATACATTCTATGATACATAGAGTGTCTTTGACATACAGACAGACCATGTACAGAGTATTTACCATACATTCTAGGATACATAGAGAGTCTTTGATAATGCAGATAGACCATGTACAGTGTATTTACCATACATTCTAGGATACATATAGTGTCTTTGATCTTGAACACAGACCATGTACAGTGTATTTGCCATACATTGTAGGATACATACTGTGTCTTTGATCATGCAGACAGACCATGTACAGTGTATTTACTATACACTCTAGGATACATATTGTGTCTTTGTCATACAGACAGACCATGTACAGTGCATTTACCATACATTCTAGGATACATATAGTGTCTTTGATCATACAGACAGACCATGTGTAGTGTATTTACCATACATTCTAGGATACATATAGTATCTTTGATCATGCAGACAGACCATGTGTAGTGTATTTACCATACATTCTGGGATACATATTGTGTCTTTGACATACAGACAGACCATGTACAGTGTATTTACCTTACATTCTAGGATACATAGAGAGTCTTTGACATACAGACAGATCATGTACAGTGTATTTACCATACATTCTGGGATACATATTGTGTCTTTGACATACAGACAGACTATGTACAGTGTATTTACCTTACATTCTAGGATACATAGAGAGTCTTTGACATACAGACAGATCATGTACAGTGTATTTACCATACATTCTAGGATACATATTGTGTCTTTGATCATGCAGACAGACCATGTACAGTGTATTTACCATACATTCTAGGATATACAGAGTGTCTTTGATCATGTAGACAGACCATGTACAGTGTATTTACCATACATTCTAGGATACATAGAATGTCCTTGTTCATGCAGATAGACCATGTACAGTGTATTTACCATACATTCTAGGATTCATATTGTGTCTTTGACCATACAGACAGACCATGTACAGTGTATTTACCATACATTCTAGGATACATAGAGTGTCTTTGATAATGCAGATAGACCATGTACAGTGTATTTACCATACATTCTAGGATACATATAGTGTCTT